GAGAGAGAGAGAGAGAGAGAGAGAACATCTCTGTTTCTGAATCTGGCTCAGAACTGCTTCCAGATTCAGACTAAATCATCCAGGCCGATTGGGCAGAAGTGGGTGGGCTGGGCATGAGGCTGTAGGCCTGGGTCCACGCCGCTTCATATTTGAATTTCAAGGACCTGCGGCCCCCACGGCGTTTCAAAATATTTTAGACCACGGCCACCTACCGGTTCCCAAGAAAATGCCACGGGCAAATACCGGTCCTGCATATGCTTGAAGTGCGCCCCACCCCCTAAACGCCCCTGCCTTTCATTTTACCAGCTATTTGCCCGGTCCTGCATATGCTTGAAGTGCGCCCGCCCCCCTAAATGCCCCTGCCTTTCATTTTACCAGCCTTTGAACGACCAATGGGCCCGAATGAACGACCGGTATAACGAACGACGACGAAAATGTCTCGGGGGGGAAAATGCAACCCTGATGGGCTGCGAACATTTTTCGAGCCTTCCAACGACCAAACGACCAGACCGGTATACGAAAAAATGTCTCCATGTCTCCATGTCTCGAAGGGGGAAAAACGCACCCCTGACGGGCTGCGAACAGGCACACAAGGTTGGACACTGAGGCTTGGGCTGTCCTTTCCAGCGCGCCGACTTGACTGAAGGTGAGTCAAATGGTGCTTTCGTATGTTCATTTCTGCTGCTTTGTTTTTGTTTTTTGGTTTTCTGTTATTTGTTTGTGTGTGTGGTCATATTCCCCATACACTCAAAAAAAGCATGACTGTACCAGACAGTTTCGTCGGACTTTCACCGACTCATCAGGAGGTTGAACCCCGACAGTCTGCCCAGGATGTTTGACTGATGTGTGTGTGCCCGTGTGTTTGACTGATGGGTGTGCACCCGTGTGTTTGACTGATGGGTGTGTGCCCGTGTGTGTGCGCGGGTGTGTGCGTGTGTGTGTGTGAGAGATATAGATAGAGAGAGAGAGGGAGAGAGAGTCCGTCGAAACTCCCGTCCGTCCATTCTCTCCTTACTATTTTTCTTTTCCCTTTTTTGGTTTATTACTGGACGCCGCATTACAACAACCGAGACGTGCGTGGGAGCGCGCTAATTAGCCAGCTAGCGAGCGAGCGCGAGCTACTTAGCTAGCGAGCGAGCGCGCGCTAATTAGCTAGCGAGCGAGCGCGCGCGCGTGTCACACACAGAGAGAGAGAGAGAGAGAGAGAGAGAGAGAGAGAGAGAGAGAGAGAGAGAGAGAGAGAGAGAGAGGTTTGCTAATACTTAAGGAAAGATTAAGGAAAGAGGGGAGTTGGAAACGTTCATGTCATATACGAGGGAATGGGGGAGGAGGAAGCGCGGGGAAGGGTAGAGGGAGGTTGGGGAATATGAAGAGGGGTCGCAAGATACTTTTCAGATGACGGCGGAGGTGAGGGGGCGGCGAGGACGAGGAGGAGGATGAGAACTGCGATGCGGTCGAGGAGGGGGATGCCAGGGGAGGAGGAGGAGGAGGCAGCAGAGGGGAAAGACGACGAGCAAAAAAGAAAAAGATGGAAAAAAAAAGCAGATGATAGCGGGAGGAGGAGGAAGAAGAAAACGGAGGCGGAGGATGGCAACGGGAACAACAAAAGATGGAAAAAAAGAAGATAATGATAGCGGGAGGGAGGCGGTCGAGGAGGAGAAGGTGGAGAGGAGAATGGCCATGGCGGAGGAGGGGAGGGGGATGGTGATGGCCCAGCGGGAGGAGGGCGATGGCGGAGGACAAGGGTCAGGATGTCAATGGCAGAGGAGAAGGGGGGCGATGCTGATGACGAGGAGGGGGATGACGGACGACATGACTGCACTTGGCCTACTGTAATTGGAGGTTGGAGGGACGAGGAGGAGGGAGGAGAGACCATGAGAGAGAGAGAGAGAGAGAGAGAGAGAGAGAGAGAGAGAGAGAGAGGGGGGGGGGGGGGGACGGACGGAGAGAGAGAGAGAGAGAGAGAGAGAGAGAGAGAGAGAGAGAGAGAGAGAGAGATGAAGGGCGGGGGGAGGCGTGACGCTGCGCTGTCCATGAAATGACTCTGACACATGCCGCTTGATTTCGTTTTTGTGTTATGTTTTCCAGGGAATCCTCGAAGACCCTTCGGCATGGCCAGCGTTATGGCTCACATCAAGGCACTACTTCAGATGCATGATCAAATTTCCCATATTGGACGGCAAATGCCAGGCAGATAGGATGTCGGATTCTACGGTTATACATTACAAGATCTGCTGAAAACAGTGGCAGTCCTACAATTGCACACGACTTACGACTTACCTCAACTACTACGAGCAACTCTCAATCACACAGTCACCCCACCGAACTGAGACGTGTGCGCGCGCTTGCACACACACACACACACACAGAGACAGATGGCGGAACCACCACGTCGTTCTTGTCGCGCCATTGCTGATCCACGAAATTCAGGAATGGAGCTGGCAAAATGTAGCAGGATGCCCACACGTCTCGGTACCTACTTTGCATCTGCCGCCACAGTGTGTCGTGAGGGGGGAACTGCATAATTCGAGGCCCAAGAGGTTGGGTTCTGAACACGTTGCTTTTCGAATTCCATATCGGGCATCCTCAGCCGAAGAGCAGCGGAATCGAGAGAAGGAGTGGATGGTGAATCTGGTGATTGCGAGGAGGACATAAACCATGTCCGAGGAACAGGTGGAGGACGACGCGAGCGGGAGTGGGAGTGGCAATGGCGATGGGAAAGAAAACATGTCGCCCTTGGGAACAGGGGGCACACCTACTTCAGCCCGGACTCTGCCACGAAGAGAATCGTCCACGGTTCTTCGTGAAACCTCGGAACTAATTCATGAATGGAGAAGGTTAGTCCCTTTAGCTCCCCCTTACTGATTAGGACCTCCCGTGGGCAGGCGCTCTGCGCCTATTCGCTGAAGGAACGTCACATGCAAATACCCGTTCTCTCTCTCTCTCTCTCTCTCTCTCTCTCTCTCTCTCTCTCTCACACACACACACACACACACACACACACACACACATATACATAAACAATAATAACAACAAGGGTACCTGTTGCGGCCTCGCTCACAAAAGAAAAGAAGGGGGGGGGGTGTTTATGTTTTGGCGCTCACCGGTGTAAAATTGTCAACGCGCAGGTGTTTTGTTTGGGAACTCGTTACATTCTCAGCATCGTTTTTTGCTTTGTGCTGTGGAAATTGACCCACAAAGTTTCAGTCCGGGATATCTGAACTTCTATGAGAAAATGCTGTCCCGTTGTCCCATTCATCTGTTTGCTAAACATTCCGATTCTGAGTTTCGTGATCAACCGATCTTGTATGAATGCCATGTGCTAGTTGAGTTTTGACTCGGTTTGTGTGCAAGTGCATGTGTGTGTGTGTCTCAGTTTGGTGGCTCCAGATGGTATGATTGACGATTGGGAGGGGGGGGGGTTGTTAAAAGCCGCTTTCAAGTTTCAACCATAAGAAGGCCAGTGATATTAAGCAGGTCTTGTAATGTATGAATGAGGTAATCAGCATCCAATCTGATTGTCAGTTGCTGTTCACCGGGGGAGTTGTCGAAATTGGCGTTGTAATGTGAGCCATAACGCTGGGCGTACTTCTTGGAGCATTTCCTGGAAGGCCAAATCCAAAGACAAAACCGAGCAGCACGTGTCAGAATCACATAATGGACAGCGTGGCAGACTCTCTCTCTCTCTCTCTCTCTCTCTCTCTCTCTCTCTCTCTCTCTCTCTCTCTCTGCCCCTTCGCCTGACCTCTTCTCTCCCTCCCTACTCCACCCAAACTCTGCACACGTTCGTCCTTCCCTCTGCCGTCCCTACATCCGACTTCTCTGTGCAGCCTTTCCCCTCCCTCCCGCCCTCATCCTTCTCTTCAACCTCCTTCGGACCTCCCTCCAGTCAAACATCTCCCTGCCCTTCGTTTGCCCGATCTTTGCCTGGCAGCCTCATCCCCCCGATATCCTCCCTTCCACCACCCGATCTCCACCTTCACCTAACCTGTTCTCCCAATCTCCTTCCCCGGCTCGATCTCAACCTGACCTCCTCCTTCTATTCCACCCTCCACCCGACCCCCTGCCTCCCTCCGACCGGCCCCCGTAAAGCCCAACCTACAATGTGTTGCATTTTTTTTCTTTTTCCCTTTTTTTTCTTCTTTTTTTTCTCCGGTGGACATCAATGCTGCGTATCGTCCCCCCTGGCGCTCTCTCTCTCTCTCTCTCTCTCTCTCTCTCTCTCTCTCTCTCTCTCTCTCTCTCTCTCTCTCTCTCTCTCTCTC